GTGAGGAGCTAAAAATATTAGGAGAAGCAGATCGGGTTTGTCAAAATAAAGAATTTGGTGAGGAGCTAAAAGTATTAGGAGAAGCAGATCAGGTTTGTCAAAATAAAGAAACTGTGTTAAACAATTGCTGCTTTGAAAACTGTGTTAAACAATTGCTGCTTTGAACTGAATTTTAAAAAACTCTTTCTTGATGAACTAAGATTTTTGAAAAATAAACAACCTCCAAATTTTTACACATCAACCATGAATCTTGGGGTTGAAGAAATTGTTAAAGAAAAATTGGTTGTTAGAGAACAAACATTCACAAATCAAGAATCTAAGTCCAATATGCATGACACCAATAACACCTGCCTTCCATTGCCACAAAAATCATTAAACACCCCGGAATGCTTAGAATTTCAGCACATTGTTGATTATATCATGTTGAATTTATTTAAAATCCGTGGGAGAATTTTCAGCAATAAGGTAGGATTCAATGTAGAACATGAACTCTTCATGTTGAATATTTCATTCTACATTGTTTATAAACATGAACTCTTCATGTTGAATATTTCATTCTACATTGTTTATTTTGTTTATTTTAGAATAATAAAAATAATTTATCCTTCTCTCATGTGAGAGTTTCTTGTTCAGTTTTCAAAAAAAAAAAGAAAAAAAAAAGAAAAAAAATAGAAAGAAGAATAAATTTTTCATCCTCCTCAGACCAAAGGTAATTGCAGATTTTTATCAGCGAACCAAATGTAAGTGCTTCACTTCTTATCTATTTTACTTTATGCATCATAGAGTTTGTATTGAGGACAATGCAAAATTTAGGTGTGGGGGTGAGAATTAGTTATTTTTTTCTCTTTACTTTACATTTTTAGTTATATTTTTTCCTTTTTCTTTTAAAAAAATTTATAAAAATATCGTCACTTGCCAAATTAATAGAGTTATGTAATAATTGATTTATTTGATAAATTTGAAATTTTCTAATCCTTAGTTGGTTATTTACTTAAGTTCACCTTTTATGATAACTCTAAATAAATTTCTTAAGAAATGGTTTTCAAAGTAGTATACTTTACTTAAGCCTTAACTTGGACTTTTATTTAAAATAATGAAATTTTTGCATGCTTAACTTAGAGTTGAAAATAATTTTTTCAAAGTGTCTTGATTTACATATTTTCAAAATATATATACATATACAAAAAAAAATTGCAAAAGAAGAGTGCGAAAAATGGGCACCAAAAAGAAAAAAAACTCTTTAATTCAAGGTGATTCTATCTTATTAAGCCTAAGCTGACCGAGTAATTAAGCCTAAAGAGTATTTTCATACTTAATGACCTAAGCCCATTTGGGTTGGGATCCATTGGCCCAAAACTCGTTAAATGGTCACTTAGAAAGCCCGTTAAAGTAGAAAAAAATCACCAAGGAAGAAAGAGTTAAAAAAAATTAATTAAAAAAAAACCTAATAAATGTTTTATAGTTGTATATATGGTCTTGGAAAATATTTTAAATCAAGCAACTTGAAAATTATTTAGTTAGAATGTTCTTTTCAAAACTTTTAAATTAAATTTCTAAGTTTGGTTTGGTTTTGTATTGCTACAATGAGAAGATTTTCTTGAAAATATACCTTAGAGTTATATATAAAAATGTTTTCTTGAGTGATAACTGGCTCCAATTAGATTATCTAAAAGTTATCAAGTGAATTTAGTTATTTACTGACTTCTTTAATTTGGTAAGTTGACTGAATTTTGTGGGTATATTCACTGTAACCCTCACGAGACTACAACTCGTCCACTAGGATAACCTAGGGGTTTAAAGGCTTGTTGTATGCGCTAAATACAACCGCGATTCCTGCGAAAGTGAGTTAGGATTTTCTTTTTATTTTCTTTGCTAGAGGACTAGCAAAATTTTAGGTGTGGGGGTATTTGATAATCATATTTTATTATAATTTTATACCCTTAATATCTATTTTATATGAATAAATATACCACTAATAATTGTTTTTATCTTTTAATTGCAGGTTAATGAAGAATAAATCTCAAACTCACATCTCTCAACAAAAACCCATCGATTAAATGAAGAAATGAATCAAAGAAGCCCATTGGAAAATTAATTTCCAAATTATCCAAAAGAAGCCGAGTAGCCTGTAGAAGCCGGAGAAAATCAAAAATCCAATATGATAAGAAATCATATTCAAAATGGTTGGCCACAAAGAAACGACGATATCTCCTAATCCGGAAGGCGGAATTTAACATATAATATATGAAAATCGCCTATCTCGACGAGACGAAGCTATCCGTGAAATCAGAATTTGGAAATAATAAGTATCGATGTCGGCATCGATGTGGGCATCGATACCTGCATCGATACCTGCATCGATGCCGGCATCGATGCCATATTACTGTAGCGCGCGTCAATGGCTGATTTTACTTGTCTTGGGGCTCAAGTTTGATCCAATGGCTCTCATTCTTTGATGTTTACTATAAATAGGGGTAGAGAGTGAGGGGTTAGAGGTGTGAAAATTTTGTAAACTCCTTTTGGAGAGGAGGGCTACTCTTAATTGAGAAGGCCTTCCAAAAATTATAACTTTAGTTGCAATTAATAAAAATAATTTTTTCCTCTTTAAATTTGTTCTTTCTCCTCTTGTTGAATGATGAGGATGGAGATGAAGAGCAATTTGAAGGTTTGCATTTCTTTTCTCTTTTATTTCTTTTTAGTAATTTCTTTATTATTGCTTATTAGTTAGATTTAAATTCATGCTTGTAGTATAGATTTACTTTCTTGTCTTTTTATCACTTTCACTCTCTCAATCTCTTCACAATCACATTCACTTATCACTCCTACTTGTCACGCACACAACATAAGAACCGATTTTATATTTTCTCCTACAAAACACCTTCCTCGTGGGATCGATATCTTAAATACTATAACTTGACATGGTTGTGCACTTGTAACCTTTTTGGTACATGTTTATACCGCATCATGTGGGAATATGCTTTTTTAGAGGGGGGGCCACCCCCCTCTATATGAAGTTCTATTTATTATATTTTCACTTGATTGCTTTTATAATACTTTAAATGAATTTGAAAATATAAAAAATATAAAATGTTAAAAAAATTATATGAATTAATTTAAAATATAAAATATATTATAAATTAATACTAAAATTATAATATATAATTTACTCACTATTTAAATAAAATTAATTAGCTTTAATAAATTGATAATAAGACATAGATAAGAGCCTTTAAATTTTAAAAACCAGAAAATATAGCATAATATTTGGAACAACCTTCATAACTACTCCGAAGGATGAAATTTTATATATTACATTCAGCGGCATTACATAGAAAAATAAAGTACATGAAATAAACTAAAAATCGGGCAGGCCTTTTTCTCCATATCCACTGCTTCTGTAGTCAGGTATTACGTATTGACTTCCTGCATAACTATATTCAGGATTAGGAATATCAAATGAAGAACCTCTAGTTGTGTTTCTATTTAAAATCTCTTGTGTTTTAATTCGAAAATACTCGTGTTCCAAAGGATTGGTAATAGTATCAAGATTAATCAACATAATCTTACTTTCCTGTCGTTCCCTTTGAATATTTAATTTTTTCTTATCATTTTCGTTCCTTAACATCATAATCTGGTGCATTGTCATTCTATCATTTTCTCGTTGTCCATGACTTTTTTTTAAAAATATCGACAATTTCTTAATTACTTTTATTGAGAGTTTCCAAGTCGGGGTTCTTTTCAGTTGCCTGTCGCCTCCTCATCTTCTCTTTCTTCCTTCCTGTCGGTCGACTTGTTATCATATCTTCGTCATTATGAGTATATCCCCCATTATCGTCATTTAAGTCGACAGCAGGAGAACTTGAATCTGATCCCTGAGATGAGCGGGACTTTGAAGTTTTGGAAGTTGCAGGCGATCTGACACTTATATTTGCCCATTTCTCTGCATCTTTTAAAATTGACCAAACATGATCAAATAGAAACCCCTTTCTCTCTTCTGGATCTTCTGCAAATATTATCCTAGCACGTTTAATCTACCACAAGAGAGGAAGAAACATTTATTAATAACATGATAATAGATGATAATCAAGATTTATGTTATTCAAAATACTTACAATGTCAAGCTCAGAAGCACCTCTTGGATTTAAGCGCTCGACTTGTCGAATGCATCCTCGAAATTTACTGATGGCCTTTATAATTAATTGCATTCGGCATGAGAGAGACTTCGGAGTCCTTTGAGCATTACAAATATTGGAAATCCTTTCATGAAATAAAGCAAAAATTCGTTCCCACAGCTTGTCCTTCTTTTGATTAGAACCCATGACTAGGTCTTGAGAAATTTCGAGCCACGTGGCGCATAAAATTTGGTCTTCTTCTTTTAAAAAAGATTTTCCGCGACTAGATGTCATAATCTAAGGAGATAACGTTATTTAGGATGATACTATTATGATGGAGGAATGTAAAGAGTTATGAATATAGAATAAGAAGAGTTGTGGTGGAGATATAAAAATTGTGCAAGTATTATATTGGGATCAGATGTGGGGAGTTTCCAACACCAGGAGAATCCAATGTAGGGAGTTTCCAACACGAAAGGAATCCAATGCGGGGAGTCTCCAACACTAGGAGAATCTAATGTGGGGAGTCTCCAACACAAAAGGAATCCAATGTGGGGGTGAGAAGCCAATGTTGAAAAGAATCCAATGTGGGGAGTCTCCAACACAACACGAAAGGAATCCAATGTGGGGGGTGAGAAGCCAATGCTGAAAAGAATCCAATGTGAGGAGTCTCCAACACGAAAGGAATCCAATGTTGGGGGTGAGAAGCCAATGCTGAAAAGAATCCAATGTGAGGAGTCTCCAACACGAAAGGAATCCAATGTGGGGGGTGAGAAGCCAATGCTGAAAAGAATCCAATGTGGGGAGTCATATTATATAATGACATTACATCCATCTCTAAATAACTCACAACTTATATGATTATTTCTATAAATAACTTCTTCATCAATGAACTATGGAGCCAAACCGTCACATCTACCTTCTTCTTCTTCTTCTTCTTCTTCTTCTTCTTCTGACGATGAAATATTTTCTCAGTACATTAAAGATTGGGAGGAAGATATGACACAATGGGAGAAGGAAGATGAACTCTTAACTCGCATACATGCCTCTAATAATAAAATAATAACTTATCTCTCTCAAGAGGCAGAGCGATCAAAGCGTACTGGCTCAGTTCCTGGTCATTTGGTGATCAATGGCGGGAGAGAAGAAGGTAATTCTCGACTTTACCATGACTATTTTTCTGATAACCCTACATATGGTGCAAACCTATTTCGTAGAAGGTTCCGGATGAACAGGAGTTTATTCCTTCGTATAGTCGAGGCGGTACGTGAGCATGACAACTTCTTCGTACAGAAGATGGATGGTGTCGGAAAACTTCGGCTATCAACTTTACAAAAAGTTACATCGGCATTTCGCATGTTGGCGTATGGAACATCAGCAGATAGTACTGATGAATATGTGAGGATCGGTGAGTCAACTGCAATTGTATGTTTAAAGAGATTTTGCAGAGCAGTTGTAGAAGTATATGGAGATGAATATCTGAGACCCCCAATGTCGACGATGTTGCAAGGTTATTGCAAAAGGGTGAAGAAAGAGGCTTTCCAGGAATGTTAGGGAGTCTAGACTGTATGCATTGGCAATGAAAAAATTGTCCAACAGCATGGGCAGGACAATACTCAGGCCGTCATGGAGGTCCAACCATTATTCTTGAGGAAGTAGCATCATATGATCTATGGATATGGCATGCATACTTTGACTTACCAGGATCCAATAACGATATTAATGTATTGCAGTCGTCTAATTTGTTCGACAATCTATCACAAGGTATTGTTCCTCCTGCTCATTACACAATTCAAGGAAAAAAATTATGATGTCGGTTATTATTTGGCCGATGGCATATATCCAAAATGACCAACACTTGTTCAAACCATTTCTAATTCCGATGATAAAAAGAAACAATATTTTGTAATGATGCAAGAAGCATGTCGAAAAGATGTTGAGCGGGCATTCGGTGTTCTCCAATCAAGATTTGCTATCATCAAGGGGCCAGCCCATTTTTGAGATAAACGAACTCTGCATGATATCATGACTGCTTGTATTATAATACACAATATGATTGTCGAAGATGAACGCGACGAGCAAGAAGATGTTGTCATTTCAACTCCACAATCAATTCTGAATGCTAAAAATATGGAGATAACGGAAACTGAATGATTCCAACGGTTCCTTGCTCGACATAAGAGGTTGAAAAACAAAGAAGCTCATTTTGCACTTCGAAATGCATTGATTGAACATTTGTGGGAAAGACATGGAAATGAAGCGATGTAACTTTTTTTAATAATGAAATAATGACTTTTTCATTTTTAATTACTTGGTTATTGAAATTTTATATTTCAATTAATATTATTCAATATTAGTCTCATTTTGAAGGTATCAACAAAACATTTCCAACTGTAAAACTTTTATTTAAAAATAATTAGTAGAAATAAACTTATATTGATTTTAAATTAAATATCTAAAAATAATTAGTTAGTTGGAAGGGTAAAATGGAAAATTTATGAGGGGGAATAGTGAAATGGAGGGGCTGCATATTTGGAGGATAAAACTCCAAATATGCAGCCCATCTTTCGATTTTGCAGCCGGACTCCAAAAATTGGAGTCTGGTTGGAGCTCAACCGGGCTGCATTTTGGAGAAATGCAGCCTAGTTGGAGCTGCTCTTACAATTGCATGTATCATCATTGCTTGTTTTAAATTATCAATCATTTCATCTTTTAGTTTTGTTGATTTTGGTTACTTATTTTCTATATACAGTTTCTTATTCATTTTAAATACTTACTTATATATATTTTGTTCCTTGTTCAAGTTTGTTTGCTAAATTTTTCTAGTCATAACGTTATGTACCCAATAGTCATAATACTTATATAAAGTATGTTTCGATAATTATTGTTGTGATATACATCTATAATTATCTATTTTATTTTGACATGATATATTGCATATACTTTTATGAATTATTGTGTCATATCACCTTGTCTTTCCATGATTGTGCTTACTGTTTTGTCCCAATTAATACTTATGTGTTGTTTGACTATTGACCTATTGTAATGCTTATACTATATTGTTCTTGTTTTACATGATATTCTTTGTATTAATCTGCAAATTATTATATTATTTCATGATTTGTTTGATGGTTACTATTGTGCTATTTTACTTAAATATGTTAATGTCGTTTGATTTGTGATCATGTATATGTTATATAAATTACTATGTATCTATTATGGTGAATTTTCATTTTAGTGTTTTCTATATTTTATGGTGTTGGATATCATTATGTTTATGATGCCTATATGTGCATGATATTTATTTTGTTCTCTTGGATTATTATGTCTGATATGTTATGACTTTTATATGAATATGATTGTATTTTATGCACTTCACACTTCTTATGATAGTTTATACTATTTTTATGATACTGTTTTGAACTGTATTACTTAGCTGGTTAGTTACAACTTTTGATGATGTAGCTTTCTTTATTTATCTTGAATGATGCATATAAGTGCATCACTTTTATTTTAATTCCGAGGGCGGAATTTATTTTAAGGGGGGTAGAATGTAAGGATCATGAATTTTTAATACTAGTTAAAATAATTTTTTAGTATTTTAAAATATTTAATTATGATTTTTAAAAGAGTATTTATATTTTTCTCGAATTTCTACAATTTTCTATGATTTAAAGTCTAAGTTTTTTATTTATTTAAATAATTTAAATATTTATAAATTTATTTAGTGCAGTAAAAAAATTTTGGAATTAATCTATTATGTTATCTATACTGTTACGTGTCATTTTGAATAATACGTTGTATTATTTTATTATTACATATTATTTTGTATAATACATTGTATTATTAATTACGTGTTATTTTGTATGGAACGTTGTATTATTTCTACTATCGCGTATTATCAATCGTATTAGTACAACTAATACGTTTTATTATGCGGATAATTATCCTATAATTATTTAATTTTAAATGTAAGAAATTATATTTTTTATTAATTAATCTCGTTTAATTGTACAATTTGTGGTATTATTTTTCAAACACGGAATCTTAACCAACATTATATTGTGGAGCCTTTCTTGTTTTCGGATCTCTGGATCAATTTTGAATGAAGTTCTAATCTGGAAATCCTTGGTAGGATAAGACTAATAATACCAGATGAGAATTAAAAAAATTGGTTATATAAAGCCTTGACCCAACTACAAAAGCGTTGAGAAAAAATCCTGTTAGTCAAGTGTGTTTCATCAATTAAACTTAGGAGTTCCACAAATCATTGTGAAGGAGATCGTGATCATAGAAGTGAAGGCATTGGGCCGGCAAGCAATTTTTTTTTTTCGCTCTTTTTCTTCATTCTTACAAATTCATCTTCGATCAGAGACTTTGGGAAGCGATAGTTTCCCACAATAAGAGTGGGAAACAGGTAATGATCCTAAACTATTTTTTAAGTTTTTATCGTTAAATAGTTTATTAGTTCTTTTGCTGTAGACTAAGCGACTAGGAAGAAGACAATTGTTTATGGATAACAAGTAGGTAGCTACTATATAAATAATATTTTTTCACTCAGACCTTATCCTTGAGGTAGCTCATGGCCGAGAATATGTTGCTTCCTTTAACTATATTAAATAAATAGTTTTTCACTGGAACATATCCTTGGGGTAGCCATGGCCGAACATTGGAGCTTCATTAACTAATATCAAAAAATAAATAAACCCAGAGATAGAATGAAGTTCAGGAAATTTCGTGTTTTAACAACAGTTGAAGAGTAGATGGCTGACTAGGAGGAGGGCCTGGAGGGCTATTTGGGTGGCTGTCGGTGGTGTGACTGGCGGCGAGCGTGATATGGTCAGAATGCGTTCGGGGATGGATCCAGGCTGAGGCGAGCGAGGGGGAGCGGAGATGCGATCCAAGGGGAGTGGTGCCGATGATGAGGGGCTGTTGGGCGCTAAGGTGGCCAGCGGCGGAGAGAGGCGGCGGGGTGAGCGGTGTCCTGGAGCGTCGAGCGTGAGTTCGCGAGCGGGGAGAAGGGTCGGAGCGTGATCTGAGTTCGACGGGCCGGAGGAGAAGAGGACGGGGGTTGAGGTGTGCTGCAGGGGTGGCCGAGGGCTACGGTTGGGTGTGGTGCAGGCGGAGGCGGTGCGACGTGGGAGGCAGGCGGTGGAGTGGTGGTCCGACCGGAAGGTCGGCTTGAGTTCGGCGATTAGGGCCACGGCTGCGGGATCAGAGAGAGAGAGCGAGGGGGGCAGAGAGACAGCAGGAGAAGAAGATGGGTAGGCGCGCGTGAAACAAATAGAATTATATATATATATATAATATATATATATATATATATATAATAATATATATATATAGTATATATATATATACTTATATAATTAGGGTTTTTGGAATAATTAATTAATAATAAAACATCAGCAGAAAATGAATTAAGATAATTATGTGAAAATTATGTACGCGTTTAAAATGTACGAGTCGTAGTAAATACAACGATAATACGCCCAACAGCTAA